ATACTGAGAATGAAAAATACAATGCTTTCTTTTTCGTGACGGATTGTTCGCCGTAAGAAGATCGATCCAATCTTTCCACGTTATCTGCCATGATAGCCTGGTCAAAACTGGAAAAGAAACGCTTTGCTTTATCGACAATCGCACAATCTGCTCACCGCGGATATATCTGTCATGTTGACCTTGGTTACCAACTGTAACCATGCCTGATCACAGGGTAATTACAACTTTTACCTCGGTTAAATTTCTTTTGTCTTTTGCGGCATTTACCGAAGTATCAGTTGGCGTTTACACGCGGAAAATGTTTACCTAGGTAAGTAAACTCTAGTACCTCGGTAAACCGTTCAAGTCTAAACACAGCATTAGGGATATAATTATCTGCATTAGCAAGCATGGGTGGTCAACATTTTCCATCCCATCGGGATCACCATCTTGTAGTGGTGGGGTGGCTTGCATGTCTCTATGACCCGGCCTGAGCTATACATGCCGGTGGGAGTTCTAAACTCCTGGTAGGGTCACCCCTGCCGGAAAGGTCGAAGGGTAGAGGCCAGACGAAGAGTGATCTCCTGGTCCTCCTGGGTAGGGGGTGGGCGTAAGGCTAGCAACCTTATCCCAATTTACCGAAATTTCAATTTTTGGTTTATCGTTTCCATGTAAATATCGATTGCCTTGAGAAACACATAACACCAAACTTCAATCCATTTCCATAAGGATCCCATAAAGGGAAGACTGTTAAAAAGCTCATTGAAAACGCTTGGCATGGCCAAGAAAAAACTGTATCGAGACACCTGAGGCCCCGTCCACACGTATCCGGATATTTTTGAATCCGCAACTTTTTCTTTCCGGATACGGCTTCCGTCCACACGCATCCGGCCTCCAGAGTCGAAAAAACTAAACCCGCAACGAATACGATAACGTGAGGACGGCGAATCCGAATATTTTTTAATCCGATGACGTAGCAAAATCGTACCCAGTCTCTTACCGAACAATAAACCAATATGGCGGCACAACGTGTAGGCTCCTAGTTTCTCTACAGTGAATCCGGATACCGTCGGGTGCGTGTGGACAGGCGAATTCGCGTGGAAGAAGAAATTTTTGAATATGGAAAGAAAAAGTTGCGGATTCAAAAAAATCCGGATAGATGTGGACGGGGCCTAAGATAATATTTTTGAAGCAGTACGCTCGATCGTGAAATTTGAGCTCCTCGATAATGGCGTAACGATGTAAAAGGTCACACAAACAAACGATAATATATTTTAGAAACTCAGACCTTTAATAATACTTGCCGTCACTCACAAACTAATGTTTACAAGATACTTTGCGTGACCTGCCATCTCTTTGGAGGACAAATTAAAGAATTTGGCCGTTTATTTTGATCTCGAGTTCTAAAGTGTACACGGGTCACGTAATGTTTGTCAAGGTTCAAGGTGAGGCACTCGTCTATCAAATCAAATCACGATATTTTCCATACAGAAATTGCTCTCGAACACACACAGCAATAGCCTAAAGTTGATTGCTCTTCATACCTTTCGACCGCCTTTCTGGATATTGAAAAAATCCTGGACCCCGGGCTTGTGACTCTGTAAACCCCCAGCGTAAACCATACCTCCCGCGAGTGCCAGTTGATTGCGTTACAATTCACAAGGAGACCGCTGGTCGAAGAACTAAAAGGTCGATCAAGCCAAGGAAATTAATGAAATATTTTGATTTAAATATAAACTTTAACACGAGCCTCTATTACTCTAAAAGTTGTATGAAGACGACGTTATGTAATTGTTAATGTAATTGTGAATTATGTCATTGTCGTAATCATTATTAATTTTTCGCAAAACTGTAGGTCGGGCAGGAGAAGAGAAACGGAACATTTCCTGATATGGTGCCAAAGATGATCTTCTTTTACTGTGCAAACCTAGCCGTGAGGGAACTGCAGGGGCGTAGCGTCCATATACGCACGTACGCCCGTGCGTACAGTTGAAATCTGGAAAAAAAAGTTTTATTCCCTTATAGCATTTGTCAAAGTTACGATAAAATAGGACAGATTTTTAAATTTCGAATTATACTGGCCTGTGTGTTTGTTTTCCCAGTACCTTTTAATTAATCCATAAACGACAAGAAACGTTATTTGGC